AAGATACGACAATTCATGACGAAGATACGACAATTCATGACGAAGATACGACAATTCATGACGAAGATACGACAATTCATGACGAAGATACGACAATTCATGACGAAGATACGACAATTCATGACGTAGATACGACAATTCATGACGTAGATACGACAATTCATGACGAAGATACGACGATGCAGAACTAACCCGTTGTGGCCGTCCTCGTCGCCCAGCAGGTCTTCGTCCGCTGCCCTGAAGGCGTCCAAGAACCTGATGAAGACGTGAATAATAATAATAAAACTATTAATAATAATAGACAATATAATAATTTATATTACATATTGAGAGAAAAGACGTGATGTACAAGCAAACTAAAATAATATAAATATAATAATAATAATAATTAATAAATAATGACACAAATAATGAGACAAATACGGAGTGTTTTACTGTGAGAGAACCTTCCTCTCCAGCCACACACACCTGTCTACCAGACCACAGCTTGTAGAGAACTCTACTCAACAGTCTATTGTATATATAATGTATGCTGTGTGGTGTGTATAATGTATGCTCGTGACACGAGCTGTGCACGTGATGTCAAAATGTCAAAATGTAGAATTTCCCAGACTAGGATAGGAAGCTAAATGTGCCCTCTGCTCCCTAACCACATCAACGATCACTGTTTTCAATCTCCGCGTCCAAAAATGAAGATGACAAGTATAAAAACATATGTAAAACAACAGCAATTATAGTAAACATCAGGAGCTTTTTCAACCTGTCATGTCAAGAACTTAAGCAAACGAAACTCATAAAACGGAGCAAGTAAACACAATGTCCAGCATCAGCTACTGCGATCGATAGCGGCTCCATCCACATCATCACACAACACACTCACATGGCGTCCAGCTTACAACACACTCACATGGCGTCCAGTTTACGACACACTCACATGGCGTCCAGCTTACGACACACTCACATGGCGTCCAGTTTACGACACACTCACATGGCTGTCTCTTATACACATCTAGATGTGTATAAGAGACAGCTCATAACAACAACAGTCTCACGCACGACTGTACAATAACACTCATAACAACAACAGTCTCACGCACGACTGTACAGCGCTGCGCACAGTCGAGCATGACGTGGCCCACGTCCTGGTAGAGCCTGCGCCTGAACACGTCCGTGAGGATGAGGCGTGAGGCGTGAGGCGCGCCTCGCACGTCTCTGAGGCGCATCATGCGCTGCACCACGTCGTCTGTCAGCTGTACGAACTCCTGCACGCTGTCTGCTGCCTCTGACAGCCTGCCTCGTCTGCCTCGTCTGCGGGGTGAGAGGCGTGAGGCAGCTGGCGCTAAATCACATGTTCACGTCAAATAACTACTAATAAATACTAATAAATACCAACTACTAATAACTAAGGTAATCAACATGCTGTGACATTAACGTTTTCGCTGCAATGAGGCAAACCTTTATTTATTTTATTTAATTTCATTTGGCTTGAAACAATTCATGACGAAGCTACGACAATTCATGACGAAGATACGACCTGTCTCTTATACACATCTAGATGTGTATAAGAGACAGCACTAACACTACCGACTACCCCAACTTGTACACTAACACTACCGACTACCCCAACTTGTACACTAACACTTCCCTTAATGGCACACCAATATGAAGGCTATGACTATTTAAATATCACAATGACTCTCCATTCAACCTTCACAAATTTTATCCTGTTGAAGATGAACCTCAGGCCTCAGGCATATATTTCAGGCATCTTCAGCATATATTTGATGAACCTCAGGCAGGATATACGAGAGAATATGACAGGATGTAGGAGGAATGAAGGCAGGATATATGAGAGAACATGACAGGATATAGGAGAAATCAAGGCAGGATATACGAGAGAACATGACAGGATGTAGGAGGAATCAAGGCAGGATATATGAGAGAACATGACAGGATGTAGGGGGAATCAAGGCAGGATATATGAGAGAATATGACACGATATGGAAAGGATCAAGACAGGACATTCGAGCCCCATAGTGGCACAAATTTATGGTAAATGATTAACAAAAATATGAGAAAATTAGTACCGAGATAATTCTGATGATTATAATTATAGATATAAGTAAGAAGAAATAATAATAAATCACTGGATAATTTATAAGAGTCAAGGGAATAACTCACATCAAAGAGGAACTGCTTGAGAGGACCGCGTTCTGTTCCTTCGCAGTTCTCGCCCGCTATCAGCGCCTGCGTGTAAGAGTGAGCTTCATTTATTAACTGAAAATCTGTTAAGTAATTAGCTCGGTCATCCATCATTATTATTAGAGGATATTAAGATTTCCTTTTGACTATCTCAATTGTGCGTCAATCATCCATGGCTATTATTAAGGTTGTTAAGATTTTCTTTTGACTATCTCAATTGTGCGTCAATCATCCATGGCTATTATTATAAAGGTTGTTAAGATTTTATTTTGACTATCTCAATTGTGCGTCAATCATCCATGGCTATTATTAAGGCNCATCATAACAGATTTAAATACTTATATAAATAATCTATTCGTGTTCTGCTCAGCCGCTCGTACGAAAACGAAACCTGCCATCATAGACAATTTAAATACTTATATAAATAATCTATTCGTGTTCTGCTCAGGCGCTCGTACGAAAACGAAACCTGCCATCATAAACAATTTAAATACTTATATAAATAATATATTCGTGTTCTGCAACATAAAATACTCACAGTCGATTTAAATACCTATGCAGCTACATAAATAATCTATTCATGTTCTGCAGCATAAAATACAGGCAGGTTTACCACTAAGGCAATTGAGTCTTGTCTTAATACTGAGCAATAAGTGTAACTTTAAATACCTATGTATCTATATAAATAATCTGTTATTGTACTGCAACATAAAATACAGGCAGGTTTACCACTAAGGCAACAGGTCATTAAGTCTTGTCTTAATACTATGCAATAAGCGTAGCTTGTATATACTGTAACATTGCATCATATATTTGAAATGAGTAAATTTATTATTTAAAGTTTACCTTCAAGTGGTATGAGCAAATAAGTGTAGCTTGTACGTATATACTGTAACATCGCATATCATATTTTAACAAAGTAAATTAATTATTTAACGTTTATCTCAACTAGTATGATCGGGTTAGTAAAACAGTATGAATATTTGTTGTATTGAAGTCATTATTGTAATTATTTATAGCATTGAAGTCAATATTGTAATTATTTATTGCATTGAAGTCAATATTGTAAATATTTATAGCATTGAAGTCATTATTGTAAATAGCCTGACCGGGATGCCGAGGTGGTGATCCCGTATCATATTTGAACTGAGTACATTAATTATTTAACGTTAACCTTCAAGTGGTATGAACAGGTTAGTAAAACAATATGAATATTTATTGCATTGAAGTCAATATTGTAATTATTTATTGCATTGAAGTCATTATTGTTATAAGTCTGACCGGGATGCCGAGGTGGTGATCCCGTATCATATTTGAACTGAGTACATTAATTATTTAACGTTAACCTTTAGGTTAACGATAAATAATAATTCAGGTTAGTAAAACAATATGAATATTTATTGCATTGAAGTCAATATTGTAATTATTTATAGCATTGAAGTCAATATTGTTAATAGCCTGACCGGGATGCCGAGGTGGTGGCTGTCCCGTAGCAGATAGTCCCACTTGTCGACGTCGATGCCGTTGCGTTGATTGTTGATGATCTGCAGGGCAAGAATGTTCAACTGTTGATGTGGGAAACTCAGTCCAATATTATTGAGGCATGTCATAACATTCTGTTAATATTTGTTGCATTGAAGTCAATATTGTAAATAGTCGATGTGCAATGGCCACTTATCGACTTATAATAGCCACCACGTTAGCTTTAGCCACTTGTAACGTGCCCTCGAAATTCGATCTGAACGAGACGCCACGACAATCTCTTCGTGGAATAATAATAATAGTAATAATAATAATACATGTGATCAAGTTTCGTAGCAAGTGATGACATTTTATCAAAGCTGGTCCCATTCCTACAAGGCAGAGAGAAACGCTATACGTCACAGCATGGGATAAAGAAACTACAACCTAAGGGACAATTTCGATCCTTTTCTCTGCTGGGTGCGAGGGCTGAGACCGTCCCGGGATAGCGATGGGGCACCTTCAGTTTTGTGCCCGACGACCTGCGTCCCGACACACGTGTAACTTTCGAACTCCAAGACGCGCCTCAATATGCCTCAATAATATTGAGGCATATTGAGGCACACCAACTTGTACACTAACACTACCGACTACCCCAACTTGTACACTAACACTACCGACTACCCCAACTACAAACTTTCAATGTCGTTTATAAGATGCAAACTTTCAATGTCGTTTAAAAGATGCAAACTTTCAATGTCGTTTATAAGATGCAAACTTTCAATGTAGTTTATAAGATGCAAACTTTCAATGTAGTTGATAAGATGCAAACTTTCAAACCCTCGTGAAGTTAGGATTCATTCACTTTTCGATGATTCTACCAACGAAAAAATTTCACCGTTACTTAGTAATTTCTGCATTAATAATAAAATATGATATTATTTTTAGAGCTACAGAACTCGGTGAACTAGACTCGTTCACTCAATAACCTTGGAATTTGTACCCAAGCGACTGGTAATAATGGTATCATTTCAAACAATACATGTATTTTTATTATTCTTATGTATATTTTTCATGTTGGTTTGCATGTTTACATGTTTATGTGTTTGACGCAATGCGGCAAAAATCATGAATATTTATCTGAAAAATTCATTCCTAGTACGAGAATAGCGAGGTATTGCGGAACTGGGAGAGAAGGATTCTAACAAGAATTTCAAGTTGATATTCAAATTTATATGAAAAAATAAAATTTAATTTAAAGACATGAATATTTCGAAACGAGAGTAAAGTGTGGCTCGTTCCATGTAATCATCTTCATATTCAATTAGCATACATTAGATTTATCTTACTTAATGGGAATCGGAATGAGGCTATTAGTGATAACAGAGCTCTCGAATTAAAAAGAGATTGCCGGTCTAACGTGCTAGTATTCATAGATAATAACCATTTTTCTGAGATTATAAANTATTATTATTATTATCATTATTATTATTTTATTATTATTATTATTATTATTACTATTATTATTATTATTATTACTATTATTATTATTATTATTACTATTATTATTAGTATTAGTATTATAATTATCATTATTACTATTATTATTATTATTACTATTATTGTTCTACGAAGAATTTATCGTAGCGTCGGGTTTAAACAAACTTCGAGGACACGTCACACATAAGATAAATAGCAAGCAAAGAATAAATAGACAAAATAAAGAATGGGAACGGATAAAATGACTAAGAACTATAGATTCATAGGCTCTATGAAATAGTTCCGTCATGTCAGTTGATGAGTATCTATTACATGGACAATATTTAAGAATGTGTTGATACACTGTAAGGCATAAACTTGTATTGTGAGGCAGAAAGTTACTATCAAAATGTAGTTGATAAGATGCAAACTTTCAATGTCGTTTATAAGATGCAAACTTTCAATGTTGTTTATAAGATGCAAACTTTCAATGTCGTTTATAAGATGCAAACTTTCAATGTCGTTTATAAGATGCAAACTTTCAATGCNTAGTATATTAATAAATAATCATTTTTCTGCGACTATAAACAGTTCTCACCCTGAAGTCTTTGGCAAACTGTTCCCAGAGGTGGCTGAAGGGTCCGTGGCCGAGGTCTCGGGTCTCGAACTAAAGAGATTGCCGGTCTAACCTGCTAGTATATTAATAAATAATCATTTTTCTGCGACTATAAACAGTTCTCACCCTGAAGTCTTTGGCAAACTGTTCCCAGAGGTGGCTGAAGGGACCGTGGCCGAGGTCATGACAGAGACCGGCCACCTGCACGCACATGGCGTCCTCCGTGGTGATGTCCAGCCCTGGCTGCCGGTGTCTTAAGGCCTCCACCAGCTTACCGGCCAAGTGTGCTACTCTGTACATGGTACATGTGCTACTCTGTACATGTTATACATGTTATACATGTGCTACTGTGGTACATGTTACATGTGCTGCTCGGTACATGGTACATGTGCTGCTCTGTACATGTTACATGTGCTACTCTGTACATGGTACATGTGCTGCTCTGTACATGTTACATGTGCTACTCTGTACATGTTACATGTGCTGCTCTGTACATGGTACATGTGCTGCTCTGTAGAACATGTTACATGTGCTACTGTGGTACATGGTACGTGTGCTGCTCTGTACATGTTACATGTGCTACTGTGGTACATGTTACATGTGCTGCTCTGTACATGGTACGTGTGCTACTCTGCAGTACATATTACATGTGCAGTACACGCTACAATATTGCATGACACACTCTGCAGTACACGCAGCAATATCGGACACGGGCGCAGGTGATGTCTTGTACCCGAATTGGTCATACACAAAAATAAAATACCTACAGGGTATCTACAAACTAACGTAGATGAAATAAACATGGGCATTAACCACGCCTGACATTACATGGTCTGGCTTGACTATAAGGCAACTATATAAGGCAACACAGCATATATAAGGCAACTGACCCAATGCTGTGTTCAAATCTGCTGTGGCAGGCACTGGGGTACACGAACGAACTGCAGCCCAGCTGCCTTATGAACCTGAAATACAGTACAGAAATACAGTACAGAAATACAGTACAGATATACAGTACAGAAATACAGTACAGAAATACAGTACAGATATACAGTACGGAAATACAGCACAGATATACAGTACAGATATACAGTCCAGATATACAGTACAGAAATACAGTACAGAAATACAGTACAGAAATACAGTACAGATATACAGTACAGATATACAGTACAGATATACAGTACAGATATACAGTACAGAAATACAGTACAGAAATACAGTACAGAAATACAGCACAGATATACAGTACAGATATACAGTACAGATATACAGCACAGAAATACAGTACAGAAATACAACACAGAAATACAGTACAGAAATACAGCACAGAAATACAGTACAGAAATACAGTACAGAAATACAGTACAGAAATACAGCACAGAAATAGAGTACAATACAGTCACTCATTACATTATGGGTCTGGAGGCTAATGGGTTAGATTTTCCACAAATAAAATCTACGGAATTGAAGAAATTTAAAGCTTATTACACAACAGTGATAATAAGTGCTAAATTGTCTGAAGTAATTATGCTCAAGTTATTCATAGGATGATAGTATTATTTAAATATGCTTTACATCTTTTTACATCATATGCTTTATTAAATATGCTTTACATTTAAATACATCAAGTAATTTAAATTTTATCATACAACAGTGATAACAAGTCCTAATTTGCGGGAAGTTCTAGTATGCTTAAGTTTTTTGTAGGATGATAGTCTATTTAAATCTGCTTATCAAATAGATTTGGACTATTTTATACGGTACTCGAAAATCTGAACTGAATAGACCTGAACTAGCCAGTGCACATCAGCACTACATCAAGTAATTTAAATCTTATCATGCAACAGTGATAACAAGTCAAAATTTGTGTGCAGTTCTAGTATGCTCAAGTTATTCATAGGATGATAGTCTTATTTAAATCTGCCTATCAAATAGATTATGACTACTTTATACCCGACAAACTAAACTAAATCGACCTGAACTTGCCAGCGCAGGTCACAGTACACATGAGCCGGGCCTATACTTTAAAAAAAAGTTAAGAGATCGTAAGTTCATCAGCCAATCATTGACGGCCTTTCAAGCCAAATCCACCAATCACAGACAAGAAAATAGAGCTTAAGTGCTTACGTTCACTTAGCGAATTTTGAAAGTATGGCCCCCCGGTCTCACCTGAGCCTCTGGAACTCAGGAGTGTCGATGATGGCCATACACTGAGCCGGCATGGTGATGCAGCCGTGCACCGAGTCTTGGAACACTTTCTCTGAGCCTTCCCGCATCATCGTATAGTGCCTTGTCTTCCTGTTGGCACACCATAATAAATAAGGTCAATTCTCACGACTAGAGCACGTTACTCTAGATTTAATAAGAAACTTTCTCTGAGCCTTCCCGCATCATTGTAGTGCCTTGTCTTCCTGTTGGCACACCATAATAAATAACTTCAACTCTCACGACTATAGAGCACGTTACTCTAGATTTAATAAGACACTTTCTCTGAGCCTTCCCGCATCAGTGTAGTGCCTTGTCTTCCTGTTGGCACACCATAATAAATAACTTCAACTCTCACGACTATAGAGCACGTTACTCTACACTGTTAGATAAATTACCGTTAACGGTATTACCGGCATTTCAGTGGCCGGTCGGCACGTGAAAAGAAACACCGCGTCGCCGTTTTTATTCCAATTTAACACTAGAAATCCGTAAAACATCTGATAAAAACGGCGAAAAAGTTTATTTTCACGGGTCGACCGGCCACTAGAACGCCAGTGGGACCGTTTTTTCACCATTTTTTATAACAGTGTAGATTTAATAAGACACTTTCTCTGAGCCTTCCCGCATCATCGTAGTGCCTTGTCTTCCTATTGCCACACCATAATAAATAACTTCAACTATTAAAATAACTTGTCTGCTTGAATCGCAAGTTAACTAGGAACTTAAAAGCAAGTAATTTCAACTCTCACGACTATAGCACGCGGTACTCTACATTTAATAAGAACTCGGGCGTTATCGTAGTCTCAATGCATAGATAACAAATGAAATAATAAAAAAATAGTTATTAAATATTTAGCGTTGAGCTGAAAGAAAGACAGATTTAGATTTCCAACTGCAACGCATCTGAAATTACTTCATATTTAGATAAAATATATCATTCGTTGTTAAATTGATTAAAAGAGTTTGGCGTTTAACATATACAAAGATTGTTAGTGTCAGAGTATTTAGCATTTACTAAACCCCAAATTATGTGCCGCCAAAGAACACCAATAAAGCCTGTATATGAAGCGTTCTTTTAAGATACAATAATAAATTACATAATTTCTAATTACAATTCAAAGATAAAGTGCTGGTGTAGAGATTGTTAGGAAAGTGGGATGTGGAATCATGCACAAGAATATTCGGACGCGAGAGAGAGTTGTTCACATCAAACAATGTCGGACACTCGGACTTATATTGTGAGGAAGAAGCCAATTAAAGACAGTCTTTTTTTATGTTTATAGGGCGAGCTATTACACGCAGCGTTTTTGTAATCAGGACATAAGACAATCAACTGTGTTAATTGTCTTATGAACTGTTGTGTCATTAACTGTGTGCCCTGAAAGAGTGCACAAGCAACCGGAATGAACGCTACACTGTTAGAAAAATGACCGTTAACGGTAATACCGGCGTTTCAGTGGCCGGTCGGCACGTGAAAAGAAACACCGTTTCACCGTTTTTATTACAATTTAATACCAGAAATCCGCAAAAACATCTGATAAAAACGGCGAAACAGTTTATTTTCACAGGGGGGCCGGCCACTAGGATGCCGGTGGGACCGTTTTTTCACCGTTTTTTCTAACAGTGTATGCGGCTCTACTGAGATCCCGGCAACGTCAGCACCATCTGCAGCTCTGCAGGCGATGGCCCTGTGTCGCTTAGCGTAGTAACGGCCGTGAGAAAACTTGAGTGATTGATAGAACTTCAACTCCTGTCTAAAAAAATCAACGATCTACAAATAACGGCACATTGCACTCCGCGAAATTGTCGTTCGTACGCCGAAGAATAACAATCCGGGCCCATACTTTCATAAATAGTTAAGAGATCGTAAGTTCATCAGCCAATCGTTGACGGCCTTTCTAGCAAAATCCACCAATCATAGACAAGAAAATAGAGCGTAAATACTTACGTTCACTTAGCGAATTTTGAAAGTATGGCCCGCGCCGGCCGTGAATTAGCTCTGAGACAAGCCGCGAAGCAGGAGATTTGAAGCTATTATACAGCCAACATTAATAAAAGTAACGAGCAATTATCGTTCGTGAGTATGGTTAATTAAGGCCAACAGTATAAGCGATGCAGTATTGAGTCAGGGAAGCATCATACAAATGGAAGTCGACATGCACAATCATTCCGAGGCCGCCTGTGCATGAGAGGTCATTAATTGGAAGAAAGACAATATCACAGCTTATAAGACATAATAATTAAATAATTAAAGTAACGGCTACTATGAATAATACGAAGCCAGAATGATTGAAGACGTTTGTGAAATATACGGTGGATCAATTGCTATTATAAATGGCGTTACGTTATAAACAAACGTTTTTGCGGTAATGTATAGGTGATTCTATAATTTGAGATATATTGAAAAACGCAAATCTCAGTGATAAGAACAAATTGAGAGACGATATCCCGGTTAATTAAAGGGATAAGAGTCTAATTCAGAATCTTTATTGTCAATGGACACGCCAAAGTCATGACAATAGCAGTGCCAGTGATGTGCACGGAGTGCCGGTGATGTGCAGGGAGTGCCAGTGATGTGAAGAATTCATGTACACAAATGAAAAAGACCGCGTCAGCAAAAAGAGCGGTATATTTGTTCAACAAATAATAGCCTGACGATATCGTAAGTGTATCACTGAGAAAGTAAAGACCTGTGGTGGTTGAGGAGAGGGGTAGAGCGCAATGTTTACCAACACGACTTCTGGGGCCATACTTTCAAAACTCGCTAAGTGAACGTAAGTACTTACGCTCTATTTTCTTGTCTATGATTGGTGGATTTTGCTCGAAAGGCCGTCAATGATTGGCTGATGAACTTACGATCTCTTAACTTTTTTTGAAAGTATAGGCCCTGGTCTCATAGCAAGCAGCGCGCCCCGGCACAAAGAGCCTTTGTGGCATGAACATACTTATGGGACGGGGACACTTACTGCATGTATAAGCATGTACTGCATGTACATCGGCATGACGGAGATGTACAAGTAGTGTTATTTAAATGACCACCGCGGCTTGTTAGGACGCTATCATATATTATTATTAAACATACGTACCTGTCTCACATATTGGTCACAATCGCAGTTCTACAGCGATTGCTTTTTAATTTCGGTAAGCTGCTTATCATGCGAATAAAGTACAGAGAATTACTTAGGATAGTTGGTGCCTTGGAGATGAATAAGAGCGTGATCCACAACAATGTTGTTGTATTTATATATAAGTATATCTGAATGTGTACAGTATAATGACCGTGCAAGACATTTTAAGCCAGAAAATAGGTATCCTCAAGTTGATATAAGTGAACTGCACCAGCAAAGAGCTCATGCATGTAAAGAAAGTCTAACCTCGAGCAATGCTTGCCACCCCTCAGCTATGTAGCCGTTATTATGCTAGTGTATATTGGGGTCACCTCGTCCGCTGTCGGATCACGCACTATGAAGCTAAATAAAGCAATCTTAGCTTTGGGTGGCCAAGGAGATACTCGTTACTAAATCAAGAACGGCGAGGCATTTGGAAGAACAGAAAGAATAGCAGAAGAAAGGCAGGCTGGTAGAAAATATTTATTCTTGTTTGAACCCTTTTCGTCCGTAACTTGCCAGAGACCAAGTGACTGTCGATGACGTTAAAAAATAATGGCATCTGTCGAAGCTCGATCGTAAGCCCGCTCTCGCGTAAAGAAAGCGTACACGATCTTCTTATCCCATTAATATAAGCAAAAAGTTTCCCGAAACTGTCAGTGATCAAAGTCCCAACAAGAACAAGTGATTAATAAACGGAAATATATCCGTAACTATCACGGCTGATATAAACAAGCATTTTTAACTAGAATTTGCTACGCAGCACCCATTCAAATCTAACATCGTTGCCATTTCATGGATATAACTTCTTAAAAGTTACTCCTGCGCCAGATAAATCGTACGCAACACGCGCAGGCAGTTGGTGCATCGCACGCAACACGCGCAGGCAGTTGGTGCATCGCACGCAACACGCGCAGGCAGTTGGTGCATCGCACAGAAGTGCAAACCGCGATTTTTTAATCAAACAAAAATTTATGACATTCGAGCCGCGAGATTTCATACCTACTGAAATTATATGATATTAGAGCTGCCATATTTCAGACAAAAATAGGACTTTTCCAGACTAGCCTATAAGTAGACCAGTAAAGTATCATGGATACCAGCTTTATCATATTTAAGAAATTGGTTCAAATCTTAAGTACAGCAATCCCTTGATTAACACGGTTTTGAATACCGCGGTTTTGATTAACGCGGAAAAAAAATTTGTGACCTACCCTTGATCCTGTCTCTTATACACATCTAGATGTGTATAAGAGACAGCAGTTGGTGCATCGCACGCAACACACGCAAGCAGTTGGTGCATCGCACGCAACACGCAGGCAGTTGGTGTATCGCACGCAACACAAGCATGCACGTAGTTCATAACTTTTTGAACATAGTATTTCTCTTCAAATAAATAAAATATTTGCACCAATAGCTACTACATGGAATCGCCGCACGTAAGGAAAAAATTAGATCAGTAGGTACTCACTGCAGTGAGTGACAAAGAGCGCATTTTCTCGTCCGTCCGTGAAGTCACGGACGAACAGACAGACAGAAGGACAGACAGACGGACGGATAGACAGACGGACGGACGGACATGGCAAGCACAATAGCGCTTTTTTTCGTAAATTGAAAATGCGCTGACAAAAACTCAACAAACAGAGAGCGATCTGTTTCATCTTTAGGAAACGAAAGGAAAACGATTGTCGAGAACTGGCAGACCACCGAGAGTTGACGTTGAGCTTCTAAATCGAGTGAATTGCCGTTACAAACAACACGCGATTATTGGCCCCAAACTATCGCTTTCTTCTGCCGTCGGTAAGAATGCGTTAAAGGGCCAACTTCTCAGTAAAAAAAATATTGGGATGCTAGACAAGAACACAGATTGAATTTATTATAACTCTTTATATAGCTTCCTCGAATAAGTCATATTTGACTTACTTATAATATGTAAGTATAGAAGTATTGTGAATTGTTAAACCCACAACGGGCCACAATCGG